GGTTTTATATTTACCTTTTCAATTTCCTTTTCTTTTAAGGATTTAGAAGACGAAGCTTCTTATTTTTGCTCTTTTATCAAATTCTAAATCTTAGTCAAATGTTGTCTTACAACCTATAAGCAAACATTTGTATAATTATTTTGCCTTTTGAAAATATTTGTTCCNATGTTGTCTTACAACCTATAAGCAAACATTTGTATAATTATTTTGCCTTTTGAAAATATTTGTTCCTGCATAACAAGCATTCATTATAATTTCTTCAGAATCTTTCAAATTTAATTTTACAGATTCAGTTGCTGGAGGATAAAAACTAGTTATAGTTTTACCATCCAATTTTTTTTTCTAAAAAGAATTTTATTGAATGAATATCAGAAATTACAAGAATCAAAAACAGAAACATTCTGTTTGAACAAAAATGCAGAAAACTGCTACAAGAACTAAATTTTTTATTATTTTTTACAAGAGAAAAGACAAAAAGTTGGTCTGTCATCTTCAATTTTAGCTCTTGCAATATACAACCACCATCTCCAACCAGCAATCCAGCTCCATTGCGTCCAGTCATCAGCTTCATTCATACCAGCACACCATATCTGAGCACAGACTGCTCCACATAGCAGAACACAATTGCTCAACGTACTACAGCACAGCAGACTGCTACAGCATAGCAGAAACTGTCTGCATCACAAAAAAGCTCAGCCTTTATCATCAAAAATAACCATCGTCTTCTTGCGTACAATCAGCAAACCTATCTGATCTTACATAAGCCTCCATTTCACTAAACTGGGCAAAGTAGCAGAAACAGATGAAAAGCCATCATCCATTGCTCTGTTAGCTAGACTGTCAACCACAAAATTGGTTTCTCTATTTATGTGCCTTATCTAGATATCAAATTTACCAAACCTCAGCCATAAAAGACCACAGAAACCAAGCACAATCAAATTTACCTAACACAGATTCAACAAGAACTAACGAATTTGATTCAATAGAAATTTTATAACCACATAAACCATGTTCCTCCATCATATTTAGCCCATCAAGAAGAGCTTTAAACTTAGCCTCCATATTGGTACAAGCACCATAGAAAAAAGAGGCAGCAAGCACCATTCTTCCCAACTCATTCCTCAGCACAACCCCCCCACCTGCAGGGCCTAGATTGCCTCTAGAAGCACCATCCATATTAAGCTTCAAATAACCTGCAGCTGGAAAATCCCAACAAACCCATAAAGCTTTATAACCAACCTGATAAGAGCTATCAATACCAAGCTGTTGTAGAACCATACAACCAATACCATTCTCCTTAACCCTAGGTCTGATATTTTTGACTTGGTAACTCAAAATACTGCATATTTTGATGAAAATAGAATATGAATGCAATAACCCTTCTCCATACCTCCTTCTACGCCTTTCCTGCCAGATTTGCCAATAAATGAGCAAAGGAATGCTCTTAATCAAACCAAGTCGAACTGATCTTTTTTTAAAAACCTTGCACAGTCTCCTTATTCTAACTAGTGGATGCTCATTACAAACTAGCTGAATACCAAATAGGCCAGCCAATATTCTCCAAATTGCATCAGCATATTCACATCCCACAAATAAATGCTCCATACACTCCTCCTCCTTAAAACAGAAGCTGCACCTGCTTACCATGGAAAAACCCAACCTCTGAATTCTAGAATCCAAAGGCAATGCCTCTATAAGCATTTTCCACCTTACCAATTGTGCACTAGGAGCTGTAGACAACGCCCAGATGATTGAAGCAGACTCATTAGCTTCCTCTTGCTGCCTAACCAAATTCCAATTAGACTTGGTTGAAAACAAACCAGAATTTGACTCCTGCTATACCAACTTATCAGTCTGTTCAGTTAACCTCAAACCTGAGTTCAGAATTTCTTCTTTGAGCTGCTCAGATAAAAGGTTAACCACAACTCCTAACTGCCACTGAGAGCTTGCAATCAATTCAGCCACTTTAGGAAAGAACTGAGGCAGCACCTCATTTCTTCCCAACAGAGGACCTCTCTTCAACCAGTATCGCACCAGAAATATGTTTGTTCCCCATTACCAATCACCACCTTAGAATGCAACACCACAATATCAAAAAAAGGCTTTAATACCTCTAGGCAGGCAGAATGACTATTACCTCTACATCTCGTAATATGCCTTCCTCTTAAGAATTTAGCAGAGAATACCTTAGCCCACAATGAGTCCCCTTTCAACATATTCCAAACTTGTTTCAACCTCAAAGCCTTCTGCACATCCTCAAATCTTCTCAAACCCAATCCACCCTCATGCTTAGGCTAGGCTAACCTCTTCCAAGACACCCAATGCCTCCTTTTCTCATCCATTTTTATTAGACCAAATGAATACAACAATGAATGAATTCAATTTATTAATCACCCCCTTAGGCAGATTTAGACAAGCTAACAAATGAACAGGAACTGCACATAAAGCAGACTACACCAACAAAACTCTGCCCATATTTGACAAGAGTCTAGCATACCATCCCTCCATCTTCTTTTTGAACTTCACTAGCAGACTCTCAAAATACCTCAGCCTAATTCTTCCAGCAATAATTGGACAGCCCAAATACACAAAAAGACATTGTTTAAAGGAAATGCCAACAATACCAGCCAGTATATTCCTACTAACAAGAGAAATGTGCTTTGATCCAAACATAGAAATTTTCTCTAGACTTACCTTCTACCCAGAGCTTCCTTCATAGAGTTTAAGAAAACACATCAAATTCTCAAGAGACCTTTTATCCCGCCTCAAGAAGATGAGAGTATCATCTGCAAAAAGCAGATGACTAATTAACACTGTACCCTTGCCCAAATGATATCCCTTCACTAAATCAACCTCAAATATCCTTCTCAAACCTCTACTTAGAATCTCCTTAGCAAGAATGAAAAGACAAGGGGACAAAAAATCCCCTTGCCATAAACCCCTAGAAGCAGGGAAGAAACCTTTCCTTACCCCATTTACACATACAAAAAAATATTACTGAGCTAAACAATTAGAAATAAGCTTCACAAACAATTCACAGAAACCAAACTTTGATAAGGCTTTGAGCAAAAAATTCCATTCCAGCCTATCATAGGCTTTCATCATGTCTAATTTCAGCACCAAATTCCCTGCCTCCACCTTTCTATCCAAATTCTTTATAAGCAGCTGAGCCAAAGACACACATTCCCCAATACTTCTTCGCCTCACAAACCCATGCTACTCCAATGAAATTATAGAAGGTAAAACAGGTCCTAACCTCAAGGCCAACAGTTTAGTAAAAATTTTATAAAGGAAATTACATAAACTAATTAGCCTAAAGTCAGAGAAAGACACAGGGTTCTTGTCGACAGCCAGCAGTTGCCGGACTAGCCTTTTGAAGCTTTCTCGCTTCCTCCTAAAGGGGAACCACTAAATCAAAGGCTTTACGACTTTTCTGTTATTACTAATCCTTCCCTTCTTTCTAGGCCTGGACTAATGCTTCCTTATGTCATTAGCTTCAACTTCTTAGGAATAAGGACCAATAAAGTTGCATTAGCAGACCTAGGCATTTCTCCACCTTTAAGAAAGAAATTCCCTGCACCAACGACATCTTCTTTAATAATATCCCAAGCTACTTGAAAAATTTTTCCTGAAATACCATCCACACTATGAGCACTTTGAGCAGACATAGAAAAAACCACCTCCCTCACTCCCATCACAGATGCCTCCCTAGTAAGCATTTCATTCATCTCAGGACTTACCAAAGAAGGGATTACAGAAAACAATTCCTCCCTTAACTCATGCTGCTCTCACTGATAAAGATCAGCAAAAAAACTAATTGCCCCTTCTCCAATTTCCTCCTCAGTCTGCACCCACACACCTGCAACATTTTGAATTCTCTGAATCCTGTTCCTTATTGCTTTCCCCTTTGCCAATGCATGATAAAATTTAGTATTTTCTCACCTTCTACAACCCATTTAACATTAGCTTTCTGTTTCCAATAAACCTCTTCCAACCTCAAAACTTCATCAAGCTCCTTCTGCACCTTCTCAAGAGCCAAAATATTTGTTGCAGAATCATCCTGCTCTACCACCATCTTAGCCCTCTGCAACTCATCCTCCTTATTCCTTATTCTCTCAAAAATGTTACCAAAAACCTCCTTATTCCATTTTTTCAAATGAAATTTCAAATATTTCAACTTCAAAAAAAGATTCTCAATGAGGTTATTAGAATACTGTCCTCCCTAATTAGTAGCAACAAGAGACAAAAACCCAACATTCTCCACCCACATATCTTGAAATTTAAAAAAAGATATTCTCTGCTGAGAAAGACAAGACAATTGAATGAGCAAAGGTGAATGATCAGATCTACCTCTCCCCAAGTGCCTCACCTCTGTCTTCTCAAAAACAAATTCCATGAAGCATTAAGAATAGCCCTATCAAGTCTTTGCCACATCCTAGCACCACCCTGTTGGTTATTACACCAAGTATATCTACTACCCACAAACCCATCATCTAACAACCCAACAGTATGAACAAAATCCCCAAACTCCTCCATAGAAACAAAGGAAGGATAAGCCCCTCCTAACCTTTCCTCAGAATTCAGAATAGCATTAAAATCCCCTACTACCAGCCAAGGCACAGAAGATAGCACAAGAAGATCTAACAAGTAGTGCCATAAAGATCTTCTAATCAAGTGATCACAACTAGCATACACAACAGAAATATTTACACACCCTGACCCCAAATAGGATACTTCAACAGTTAACACCTGCTCATGCTGCCCAATCACCTTAACTGACACTCTATTGTCCCATAACAACCAAATATGTTTTTCTGCTAAATCATTACACATAAAATGAGAAAGGCCAATCCCAGAAGTAAAACCAGCCAATCTATTTCTGCCTGGCTTAGGCTCCAAAATAGCCACCAAACATACATCATTAATCCTAACAAGCTTATTTAATCTCCTCCTTTGAAAGGCTTTCCTATCCGCTCTCATATTCCAAGATAAGAAATTAATCATCGAAATTGGGAAGAAAAATTACCTCCAGATCTACGTCTGGTAGAAGCCTCCACCGAATAAGAAACCTTCAGGCTACCTTCAGATTCATCTGAAAAACCATCCTTCTGCTGAGCCCTTCTTACTCTTACAGTACTTTGCAGAGCATCCACATCAGAAGAGTATCCTTTATCAGGAGGATCAGTCCTTCTTATTAAACCAAGCTCATCATCCAACGAGAAACCAGATCCTCTCCTATTGACAAAATTATGTTCAATGTAAAAAGAACCATTCTCAGATGGAAAATCCTGCTTATCAGCCTGCTTCTCTTTAGAAAACTCCCTAAACCTCCTCCTCATTCTCCAATTCAGGAACATCTTCCTGAATCTTCTCCACCTCAGCACTCATATCCCCTAAAATGGAATCCTCCACAACCTGATCCTCCAACTCACCTACAACCTCATGCACATAATTTATCTCTTGCACAAAGCATTCCCCAGTTTCCAAAACAGGGGTTGGATCCTACACCTTTTCAAGCACATCAAACTTATTGCCAACTACCACCATCGGCACCATAGATTTTTGTTTGAACTCCTTTTTTCTTCTATTCTTCTGCACTTCAAACATAGCACCCTTCCCTTTCTCCATCTTCCCACCACCATCTTGCTCCTTAGCGGACAACCTCCCATCTTTTTGGATACCATCACCCTCACCTCCTTCCTTCTTCTTTTTTCGACATAGCAAAACATCATGACCTTGTTTTAAACAAGTCGCACAATACTTCATATCCTTTTCAAACATAATCTTCTGCCACCTACCACTTACCCCTCCCATGTCTAACCAAAACCTCCTTGGATTTTTATTCAACAGATTAACTTCCACACAAGTTCTGGCCACACCTGGCCTGCTCAGATGTAGCATAGCCTTGTCAATTGCCAAAATTTGACCAATGGGACTTTAAGATATCCCTTAAACTCTCTTTGTTAAAGAGATGAATAGGAAGTCCTGGGAGCGCAATCCACACAGGAACTATAGGAGGTTCAATCCCAGGAAGGAACTCTGGGAATCATTTGAAGAATCGAAAGAGGAAGCCTTCAATATATGTTGCATCCTTCAGCCAAGTATTCACGAAATCCTCATATAACTCAAATCAGATCAAAATATGTCTAGGATCCAAGATTCTAACATGGAATTCACCTTTAGGCATCCATCTAGTAACAATGAATTCGCGAATCACTCCCAGAAATGGCTTCCAGTACACACATTTCTTAATCAAAGTCTGTTGAAATTTGGAAGACAAATCTTGCATTTTTTCATGCGTCCAATTCATCCCAGGCTCTTTGTTGTTGTAGACAATTCTTTTTGCAAGCTTCATATAGACAACAATGGATTCTCAGAAGAAGATCCAAGAGTAGGCATAACGTGAGCACCAGATCCAGAGTCACCATCTAACTTCCTTTCACAAACAATTGAAGGTATTTGATTGACCAAAGTTACACAAACAGATGAATTACCTTGACCAGTCGAAGTCAATCGAACAATCGAAGGGATTTGGGTTATCGATGGAATTTGAGTGATTGAAGGGATTTCTAGAAAAGACAAACTACAAGGAGATATTACAAGATTATTCTCACAATCAGAACGATTCACAATAGATCCACAACCAATTCCAGTCCCAATCCATCCATTTCTGAGATTTTTAACAAATTCAAAATTTTTGAGGGTTTCCTGAAAGAAGAAACAAAAGTACGTCTAATGTCAGGCGGTTTGGGTGGAATTTGCTGATTTAATTGAGCAGAAACCATGCTTAATTCCCAGAATCAATCTACAAAAGTAATAGAATCAAAAGGAATTCAAGAAATCAAAGGATGAAATTCTAGAGAGAAATCAGAGCTTCTCTCTCTAGAACAGACCAAAATGCTACCATCAGTCGGAATCGATAGTTTTACCATCAAATGTTTTCCATTTATGTTGAAAATTTTCAATCATATTTAATTGATCCATGGTAAGTGGAGCATAATATACTAAAAATCAGTTAATAAAAGGAATTATTCTTTTTTCCCTTTCAAACATAATATGCTACTCATGAAAACAAATTCCAAAATTTTCATAGGAGAAAATCAGATTGAGGATTAACTCGATGGTCATATATGAAAAATGAGAATGAAGAAAAATAGGAAAAATTCTCCTTTGAGTTTGTTCCAAGCTGCCTCAAGTCCATTGGTGAGTTGCCCGAACATCTTAGTTCTAACCGCACTGCACATTTCTCTTTTAACCGTAACAATGCTCTTGGAGTTGATCACTCAACATACATCTCTTTACAACAAAAACAATCGTAACGATGAAAAAAAAGGAGGTTAAAGTAAAAGCTACGAAAGGCTGTGCAAAATGGTACAAGAAGTATACCTTGAATTCAACAACTCCAGCAATCGAACTCACAAAATCAGGCAATTGAACTCAATAACTCCGACAATCAAACTCGACAAATTTGGCAGAAATCGTCCACTTCATTATACCAACTTTGATCTATGAACAAAGAAAAATACATATTGATAGGTCAAGCCAAAATAGCCCAATTTATGTAGAAAGCTCAATCTCAATTAAAGAGTCCAACCTTATAAGGATCCACGAAATTCAGTCAAACTTATCAGCTTGGCTACGTCATCAAGAGAGAGAGAATGAGAGCCTTAACTACACCGCCGAGGAAATAGTCCACCCTTACCTCATCCTTGACCACATCTCATGGAGAGCATCTCAACCGCCTCGTCCATTGAGAAAAAGTCATGAGCTCCACCAAAATAGTTGCTTAGTTGCGGTAAAGTAGCCCCAACCTGTTAGGGGGCCACTATAAATTGCACACGCCACCAACACTTGGAGGGCATCACACTTTTACCTGAGCATGACTCTCCTCCCCCTCTCCAAAGCTTGTACTCACTGCTCCCTACACCCTTGAATTAATAAAGTACCAGGTGATCAAGGCCATTCAAAAATGGACATAGGTCATATTGATCGAACTACTATAAATCTCGTTTCATCCAACTCTCTTTACTTTTAATTACTGCATTTATTTTCAATCACTTGACAGGTGGTGTGCAAAGTCATTTTGTGCATCATCAATTTGACGTCGTCTGTGGGAAAACAACAAAATTTTCACTTCTAAACATTTTATTTGCTGAACCAATGGCGATCACTACCAGATTCATGAACCAAACTGAAGACAATCGTCCACGAGAGGAGGAGATTGCTCCTCCACATACCAACCCTATCCTAGATGCTCCAGCTCCAAAGTCATAGCAAATGTTGGAGACCATGCAACAGTTGGTGGCCCAAAACCAGTAGATAGTACAACTCATGCTTGTCGGATGAGGAAGAGCACAACTTGGCGGACCTCAAGGAGTTCCACGCCCTGAACATCAAGGAGCTCCACACCCTGCTGTTTTACACCTAGGCACCCATGCAGGGCTGGGTGCCCCCTTTGGAGTCCCCTTGGGCACCCCACATAGGGGAGCCCATCATGAGGGATTTTTACCTCCTCCTCTTCCTCCTATTTCCCATGGTGAAGATCCTCGTCTACAAGAGGGTGAGGGCGAGAACCAAAGCTTAGAGCATGAGAGTCATTTTCATGATCATTCCAGAGGAGGCCCCAATCATTGGGACGAGAAAATTAAGGAATTACAAAATCAACTGAGCGACGTCTTCAATGCCATGAAGGAACAGGGACTTCAGACAGTGGACTACCTGGTAAGGCGGACAGACACTCCTTTTAAACTTGACGTGGCAAACTACCCCCTCCCTCAAAAATTCAAAATGCCATCCGTAGAGACTTTTTATGGAACGAAGGATCCACTAGACCACCTTGACACCTACAAAATCTTGATGCAGTTGCACAATGTCCCAGACGAAATCATGTGAAGGGCGTTTCCAACCACCTTGAAGGGATCCACACGACAATGGTTTGCTAAACTCTCCCTAGCCTCCTTTGCTAAATTGAGCAGATTGTTCGTATCACATTTCATTGGAGGGTGTCGCCACCAGAAGCCTGCCACCCACCTGTTTAGCATAAAGCAGGACTGAGAGGAGAGCCTGAGGAACTACCTCATTCGTTTTAACGAGGAGGTACTCTAAGTTGATGAGCTTGATGACAAAGTGACTATGACCGCCTTCTTAGGAGGCCTCCGCTCCTCAAGCTTCCTTTTTTCAGTGATGAAGCGCCCACCAAAAAGTATGCCGGAGCTACTAGCAAAGGCCCAGAAATACATGAACGCTGAGGACATCACAAGGGTCAGGCAAGGTGAGTCTTCCAAAACTAGGAAAAAAGGAAGGAAAGAGAGAGGGACGACAAGAAGGAGACTAGCAACAAGCGCAGCAGAACAGAGAGGGTTCCCGTCAAAGACCGGCTAGGTCCTACTCCTTAGAGGAACCGACAAGCCTTCACTCCCCTCAATGCTGCTGCTGGGCAAATCCTATTCCAGATTCAAGATGACCCCCGCGATAAAATGGCCGGTGAAGATGAAGTCTCCTCCAAATCGTAGAAATTCTAACAAGTATTGCCGCTTCTACCGTGACCACGGGCATGACACCGATGATTGCTATGACCTCAAAAGACAAATTGAGGAGTTTATCCAACGCGGTCACCTAAGCCAATATGTTGCTAGTAGGGAATGAGCACCACCACCTCACAATCAAGGAGATCAGCAACCCATTGGGGAGATCCACACCATCTCGGGAGGACTAGCAGGAGGTGGAGAATCACTCTCTGCAATAAAGGCCTACGCCAGAAAGGCGAGACACTTCGACGAGTTGCGCCTATCCAAGGCATCAAAGCAGGGAGATAGTGAGGTCATATCTTTTTCAGATAAGGACTTGAAAAGAATCCAGCACCCCCATGACGACCCCCTAGTGCTCACCATGACTGTGGCCAATTTTCAGGTACGCAGGATCTTGGTGGATATCGGCAGCTTTGTGGATATTCTATTCACAGAGGTTTATGACAAACTCAACTTGGGTAGGAAGAGACTGCAGCCTATCAGATCACCCTTCATTGGGTTCTTAGAGGAGAAGGTGTATCCCCTAGGTTCCATTACCCTGCCTGTCACAGCCGGAGCAGCACCTTGAAGCTCCACAGTCATGGTCAATTTCTTGGTAATAGACTGCCTATCAGCCTACAACACAATACTGGGGCGACCTGCTCTTAACACATTAAGAGTTGTGCCCTCCACCTATCATCTCATCCTCTATTTTTCAACCCTGAATGGAGTCGCAGCGGTCAAAGGAGACTAAGTAGCAGCAAGAGAGTGCTATGTCTCCTCTATGAAGACCAAGAAGCTACAGGAGGCGTTGCAAGTTAAGGTCCTTGACCCAAGGGATGACTCCACCA